TCAATAACAGAGTGGCACGTGAAACCGTTACCTCTACTTCTTCTACAGGTACAGCACTCTGTTCCTGCACACGAGGAATAGTTACAGTCTGCCTCCTTCTGTGCCTCTGACTTCGCACACGATGAACACTGGGTCTCTCCTGAGAGGTAGCTTCCTCAACCGAGGATGGCGTGGAAGGTCTCATTGGTAATGGTTCCACGGTGAATAAATCCTCACTGGCTTGAGTCGCTTCTAGTGTAGAAGACAACAGACTGAATGGCTGTGCTGGGCGACAGATGCCAAGTCGAACTGGAGCTAATATCGCATCGGCTACTTGAACAAGTTCCGGAATGGCAATGGTGGAAAGACACTGGAAAATACGCTGACACTTCATCAACGGTTGCACAACACCTCTGGGAAATGGAAACAAAACCAATTAAGTAAACCAGTCAAGTATATTGGCACTACCCAGGTCCTAGGCATGTTCAGTTGAAGAGATGATAACTAACACGCGTGCAGAACCTTTTTTCTGGATAATGTATGGATACGGTTGTAAGAAGAAAGTACAAGGGTCCTTGGAAATAAACGTTCAAGGCAAAAATACAGAATGAATTAGAGAAAATAAGCCTTTCAAGGTCAAGCATGTAACAGCTGAAAGAAAAATAAAAAAACACTTACACTTTGCGTTTGCCATTAGCAGGAGCCATTTGTGATGATAGGACAACGAACACTCTGGCTACAGATCTGATGAAGCGCTGAGCCAGGTTCAGTTCATCAGATTTGTGAGGATCTGTTGAATTTTCAATCGCATTGACCAGGGTAACTAGAAGAGGGTCAAGTGTCTAGAATGGTAACAGAAAAAGGGACAGCAATCATTAAATGCAGCCATAATTACACTCCAAATTGACCCGTCTTTACGGAGCTTTAAAGTTCGATAGTGTTATTCGTCCTTAGCACCCCGATAACTACTTCATATAAATCAATACAATCAAATGTGCATGGGATGTCTATGTATATTTTTTTTTGTGTGCGCGCGCACCATCATTCATCTCTTTTGTTAACTATTATCTCTGTAGATTTATATTGTTTTAGCAAACCTGCACTTTGGAAGATTTCGTCAATTGGAAGATCATCTTTACTGGAATCAATGTCTTTAGTTTCTCAATTAGTTTCCACAAGCCGAAAGAGTAACAGGTTAGCAAAATGAGATATGGTACTCAGTTACTTAAAACCAGCCCAAACAACAATACCTTGGTAGAGCGACAGAACATGAACCATGCTCTATTGATAAAAATGTAAATAAGTCACAAGTTACCTCTGGCCCGCACTTGGCTACAAGACAGTGTGTAAATGCATCCAACCGCACTGTACCGGGCTGACTTTGAAGACGATCTTCTTGTTCGATCAGAGGAATCAGTTGACTTGCACCAGCGTCGGGCAAACCACTGCCCTCGTGTGTATGCGGTCTAAAAATAGCAAGTAGTTTACTATTGTGGCCATGCGACTTACGGAGAATAATACCATTTTTACTTTCAATATTTCAATAACCCCCAAGATAACCTAATTGATAACTTTGATATTACCTGTTTGCCGGATAATGTATGGATATTCTAGAGAGAAGTTACATATTCACTGCTCACGCAGTAATACCGTTTGAATTTGGTTACGTCAATTACTAAGTCATTCAAATCTCTAATATAAACGTTAAAGGGGGAAAGGTTCGACTTGGTTTGACAACAAAAGATGCAAAAACTGATCCAAATTTACCTGGCATCTCCTGGCGTACGGCATCCATCTCTTAGCATTGCACTCACAGCTCTCCAGTCCTGTAGGATGATCTCCAGAGCTTTGCGCGCAAACCTTGGAGGATCCAAGTCGTGTTCTGGGAGGGGTAGGGTAGTTCCACTGGCGCCAAGCGTCTTGGTCTTTGCTTTTGGACGAGTATCTGTTGTGGTGCGATGAGGTCGAAACTGTCGCTGTTCCACCGTCTGTCGAGCCACAGTTTGAGCCAAAAATAACAGCAAATGCTCCCCTCTAAAGAACGAGAGGAAAGGTGATTTTAGACATTGTGCTTTCAGGTAAAAGCTTTTTAAAGCTTAAGAGTTATATCAGTTAATAACAGCAAAATATTTTGGGCCTATCCATGCTTAAATAAGGAGAGATGTTTAGACTGAAAATCAGGCGTACCAATTTCAGCATCTGTCAGGTATGTGTCAAACGTTACCAGGGACTGTAATGCTTTTGATTTACTGCGATTTGCATCAATGATCGATCGAGAAAAAACCCTACCAATATCTCAATCTCACCATGGGCAGGCGCTTATGGAAAACGTTAATGAGTCCCATGGATTTCAAGCGATATTTCAAGTTCCCTTTTTCCTGATTGGAGGTCGTGATTATTTTGCTTATGGCTTTACGGGGCTCCATTGGCCATACAGAAGAATCGTTATGTTATTCCACAATAAAATTTCACAACTGCATTCAACAGTTCCTCTTTCCTTCCTTTTCTGTCCGATGTAAAGGAATTATGTCAACTAAGTCAACTTACCTTCCATTTGGGCGGCTAACTAAGTCAGTCTCTGAAACCAGTTTTTTTAGGAGCTGGATGCGAGCAGCATGGGAGCCTGGTACCAAGGCGCGACATTTGCACTTTTCCCAGCAGTCACAGTAAGCAGTGGGTGCCGTTCTCTTCAACCTGAATAGATAACAAAAAACGGTGTGATTCGTTTAAAAATATCACATCACTGTAAATTCCCTAGAAGACCTGGCACAGCTGTCAATCTTACTTGCAGTCATGTCCTCTGTGACAAACTCGCGCACATTCAGTACAACAACAGAGCGAGCCAGTCAAACCACAAGTGCGGCATTCAAAGATGTCTTGGTTAATGTGCTCAGTGCCGGTCCAAGTGAACGAACAGGTATCATTACAGCAAAGAACATGCAAAGGGGAAGCGTCGGGGTGACTGTCTAATGGACACAACATGGACATCAACACACTTCTGTCAATTTGTCCGTCTGGGCCAGTCGCCAGGTACTTGGCAGTAGCAAACAGGTCGAGGGCAGGATAGTAGGAGCGGCCGCGAACGGCAGCCATAAAGGGGGTGCAGCCATCTGTATCCCTGAAAAATAGAGATATAAGAAATGGTTTAATCACAAGATTAACAGCTTCAAGAAAACAGATAGAAAAACCAAGAGGACTATATACTTGGGCCCTTCAGTCGGGTGCTTTCTTGTTTCCAGCTGACTGCTTTTTCTTTCTTTGTAACTTCGATTTTTTTAAATTTCAATTGGATTTGATTTTAAGGCGTGGTTCATTGATTTTAAGCGTGGTAGTCTTAAGTCCAACTTCTTCACTCTGATGCTCATATTATTTGTTTCTCACTCAACCCGAGATAAACTATTACTTGTGAGTAATTTCTATTTACGTTAACATTGGTGCACGTACACTGTTTGAAGTCTCACATTACCACAAAGGAGTTAAATACCAGATAAAGATTACTTACAGTGTATGTTTAAATTTTTAAAACATTTGATGAATGAAAACATGTAAAAGAAATTCTATGAGAGATGTTAATTGATCATCTCTCCTTACTTGGCTGTCATGAGTTGCAGCAGGAACGGTGCCAATACAGTGCTATTACACAACAGATTCAAACACTTAAGAGCTTTAGCCTGAGTCGACAATAGTTCAGTAGACTTGCTGGAACCTGCTGCCGCTGCTGCGGTTCCCCCCGCTGCAGCAGCAGCTGCTGCAGCTGCTGCTGCTGCTGCTGCTGCTGTGGATGACGCTGGTGTAGGAACTGTCCCTGAAGGAGCCGGGGTCAATGGCGGACCTGTATCGTCATCTCGCGAATCTAAACAATGCAAATCGATAGAGGATTACAATGTAGTTTCTCACGGCAATTCCGCTATCTTATCAGACAAAAGACAAGCTTATCAGCGAGAGTGTGTTATCTTGATACCACACCAAATTCTCCCGTCTTATGCATAAGGTGATAATAGATCGCAGACAGAGGAGAGAATCACTTATTGGAGCTTGAAAGTTAAAGGGTTACGACTTGACCGAGAATCATTTGCGACGTCACTAGGGAATTCTAAGGAATGGTTTGAAATGTCTTTGACAATCAGGAATTTCACTGTAGGTCAGTCATCATCCCAGGTTTTGCCAACTTATGAAAAGTCACAATTATTTCCATGCAGGAGTTTCTTTTCGGACATACGAAACCCAGCCTTACGGACAAGGAAAAAATTAGGCCAGTTTTCCAAATACAACTGAAACTTTAATCTCCAAGAAACACTGGACTGAAACGACTTAAACGAATGACTGGGCAAAAAATTCAAAAGTGCAAGTACAATTGTAGGACAATTTCTATAATCAACGCCTATGCAAAAATTGGTTTCTGTACACCACGAGTATAACCGCAAGGAAAATTTGATCAAACTATCGTTCCAGTACCGAGTGTTCTACAGAGATGTTTTAGTAGCCAACCAAAAAACGCACACCACTTGGCAAAGGTTCAAATTAAATTCTGATCAAGAAAGATAGTTAACCACTTTCAAAGTAGCCGGCAATTCAGAAACGGCTAGCCGGTGAAAACTCTGGAAGCTGGTACTTCTTGATAACAATAACTAAATGTACCTCTACGTCTTTTAACTAATGCTTGTCAATAATGCGCTCGAAAGTAAATATAATAACCTGGAGGGTCTGGTGGCCAGTGCAATGTAGGTATAGGAGCATCCTCTTCCACATCAAGTCCTGCCAAGGAGGATGTTGCCGATCTCGCCGCAGTCACAGCTCTCTGCATCATCTCATGCATTCCCAGTCTTGACGATCCTCCACTGCTTCCTTGCCCAGTGTTGGTGCCCCCGATACCACTGCTGTTGCTCACAGAGCCTGTACTGTTGCTAGCGGGTGAGCTGCTAGAACCACCATCTGAAAAAAAAAGCAACAACAAACCCTTGTTAGAGCACGTAATACATCTAACGCGTGTTCAAATTTTTGCAGGTTGCGTTGTATTGCTTCATTTACAGCTTTTCCCATCCTTAACCATTTTTGGCTCCTTCTTGATATACTATTACGGAACATGTTTTTACGTATGATGCACGATCCTCGCAGTAAAGAGCGCTATTTATGCAACAGCAAAAATCAGACCTGAAAAAAATCAGGCCTGTACGGGATTCGAACCACTGACACCTCTACGATACTAGTGCAGCGCTCTACCAATTGAGCTAACAAGCCAACTGGGAGCAGGCCGTTAAGTTGATTCATAATAAACCCGTGATGATAAATATATGAACATGTTTTTGTTTCCCTTACAGTACTGCTATTTAGAAGCCTCTTTAAACTTGAGTGTTGTTTTTCCTAGCGCAAAAAGACATAAAGAGGAAGCTACTTAAAAGCTTAGTGTCCATATCTCACACCACTTGAGCGAACAGCTGCTGCAGCAGCAGCCACGGCAGCGGCAAGGGCGTCTACTGCTCCCTTTAATGGACTCCAGCTTGTTACGCAAGATTTAAAGTTGATACATGAGCGAAATAATTTTTTTATCTACTGCAGTTTTTCCAAAATTTGTGGGTGAAGTAGCACAAAAGGTATATTTCAAGAAACATGACATTATATTGAGATCAGCAGTGAGGTCTCACCACTTGAGCGAACAGCTGCTGCAGCGGCAGCCACAGCAGCCGCAAGGGCGTCTACTGCTCCCTTAATGGACTCCAGCTTGTTACCAAGGGCACCTGTAGCCGTAGACACACTGCTACTCTGAGATTCAACTGCTTCCCCTGGCTCATGGGCTGATGTTGGGAAGCTTCTGGAGACGCAGGCATGGAGAATGTTCCTATTGCCATCACATCGTTCCAAAAGAGCTGCTTCTAGAAGGCTACCCATATTGACTGTACACACAATAAAACATCGAGTGCAAAAGCATATTTTAAACTTTGGAAACACGGCATTCAACTAAAAACCAAAAAGTGTAAATCTAAAACTAAACTTGCAAAGAGCATCTAAAGAAGCGTTAAAAAAGATTCACCTTCAAGCAGGTACAAATTTTATAAAGAGCTGTCAAATAAACAAGAACATGGTCTCGTAATGTATGGTTGGTTGCATGGGAGCTCACAACGAAGTGAATATTGTGTCTTATGGTCTGCTCGAGCAGGCAGTGGGCGTGTATCTCCCCAAACAGACATAAAAATCCTCTTCCGCTCATGTTTGTCAATAGTATATATTGACGTTCCTTGGTCAGAGATTCCAGACAATTAGGAATGCAAGTTTGATTCCCTAAAGTCGTTTCATGCATTACCTACTTTTTAGAGCAGTTTTCAAAATCGACGTCATAAACAGCTTTGGCTGACTTACCAGGGTCTGCTTCCATGGAATCAAGAAACTGTTTAATAGCTTCATAGTCACACTTCAGAATACGAGACATCAACTGCTGGTTCTACAAATCACCGATCATCAATTGTATCATTTTTACGTAAAAAAGAACATGACTGAAATAAGATGATGCGCTGAGAGTAAAGACCAAACTACAAAGAAGACATTGGTGAAAAGTCGCATCAGTAGTAAAGGTGGTGAAACAAAAGTCATATAAACAACCCCCTCTTCCCTCCCCTCCCCCGAATAAAAAACAAGAAACAACAACAACAAGAACGTCTGTTACTTACTTGCACAGCCAACACAACCACTAAGGCTCTGGCTTTACACTCAGTTCCTGGTCTTAGTGAAGTGACACCCACACCAAGGCTTTGCAAAGGAGGCAGATCCTGACAGGAGAAGAAACAATGTTCAGCCAGATTGCAATTTGAAAAACATTTGATCCTTTATTTAAGGAAAAACCGACAATAAAACTTTACAACAAACATGTAGGAAAAGCCAGTCGAAAAACCTCGTGGTAACTAAGCGAACGGTGCATGCGTGCACGCGATTATCTCATAACACGTCGGAACAGACAATACCACATCAAATTTGTCATTCCCAATTGAAACAATTTCCATATCTTGGTAAAATAAAAACTATCTTAATTGCATACTGCACAGCTAAGCTAACAAGACTTCAAGTATGACATTTTTTCTAAAACTTATGTGAATATTTTTGTAATTGGCTCAAAATGCAGTGGCTGTTGTTTGCCATTTGTCATTCAAGCAATGTTTAGATCTCCCTTCCAAAGCTCAAGCACTGAGTGTTTTTGTGCCAAAAGAGCAAATTACAAATTATTACACATGTATCTACATGTTGAATTCTTACAGTCCAAGCTGGATCTTTTACAGTTCCAAGGAAGTTCTTTGAAAGAGGGAAAGGAGCTCCATTTGTGTCTGTCATCATAATTAAAGAATCCTGAAGGTGACAAAATACAGAAATTAATGATAAAAAGTTTTTGAAGCAATTTAAGCTAACAATTGTGAAGTTTCTCATTAAAAAAATATACATAAACATGTAGTTTGGCATTCTAACACCCTGTGAAGCACAAATGCTTTTCTTGAAGCTTTGAGGGATGTGGTTGTTTGAGAAGAAATATGCCAATTTGGTAATATCATCTAGGTTGAAATAAATTATTGTAAATTGGCCACCTAAAGAGTTAAAAGCTGACATTTGGAGCATTAGCCCTTCGTTACTCGCTCTGAAGAGGACTAACACTCAAAACATCAGCTTTTTAACTCTTTACAGAAGCCAGTTTACAATTTCAACTTAGTTGATATTACCAAATT